TTCCGTCGCGGGGGGCTTTCTTCCCCCCAAAGGAGGCCGTGGATGATAAAAAAAAAACAGAAAAAGGGCCGGTAGGCCCGAATTGAACAAATTCAAATCGGGGCCCATCTGCGCCGTCGATCTCCAGGATCGACGGCCCAGATGGGCCGCGATTTGAGTTCGTTCAAATCGGGCCCACCGGCCCTTCTTTTTTTTGTATACTGAGTCTACTTTCCCGCGTCGTTCTTCGTTGTGCCCGACCCTACGCCTCACTTCGGTCGATGGGTGCACTCGTTGTCGCCGTACAAGCCCACGCCCGCCAACACCGTCGACGCCCGCCCGATGCCCGGCGAAGAACGCCATCGCGCTGCCCGCCGACGCCCCCCGACGCGCGCCACGGTGAGTGTGTTAGTACGAGAGAGAGAGAGAGATCTTCTTCTTCTTCTTCTTCTTCTTCTTCTTCTTCTTCTTCTTCTGCTTCTGCTTCTGCTTCTTCTTGTTATTCTTGTTGCTCTTCCTCTTCCTCTTCGTCCTCTCCTCCTCCTTTGCTTCTTCTTCTTCTTCTTCTTCTTCTTCTTCTTCTTCTTCTTCTTCTTCTTCTTCTTCTTCCTCCGCCTCCTCCTCTTCCTCCTCTTCCTCTTCTCCTCTTCCTTCTCCTCCGCTTCTTCTTCTTCTTGCGCCCCCCCCCTGCCCGCCATCAGCAACCACCAGTTCCGATTTTTTTATTTTTTTTTATTTTTTTTTGTCTACCTCGTGCGCGCGCGTGTGGGGCTGCGTCTCCTACACCATCCCCCTTCTTCTCCATCATCTTCTTCTTCTTCTTCTTCTTCTTCTTCTTCTTCTTCTCCTTCTCCTTCTTCTTCTTCCCACCCTTTCTCACCCCCCGCCCTCCATCCTTTCTCGCCGTCCTTGTCTCACCCCCTGCCCATCTACCACCTTCATCTTCTTCTTCTTCTCGCCCACCCTTTCGCACCCCCCTCCCATCTTTTTCTCCATCTTCTTCTTCTTCCTCTCCTCCTCCTCCTCATCCTCTTCTTCTTCTTCTTCTTCTTCTTCTCCTCCTTGGCCCCCCTGCCCGCCATCGGCGACCACCAGTTCCGATCTTTTTTTTTTTCTGCCTCGTGCACGCTCGTGTTTCTCATCCCCTGCCTGCCATCCTCTGCCCGCCGTTGTTTCTCATCCCCTGCCCGCCATCCTCCACCGCCAATCATCATCATCATCATCTTCTTCCCCTTCTTCTTCTTCTTCTTCTTCTTCTTCTTCTTCGTCGTCATCGTCGTCGTCGTCGTCGTCGCCGTCGTCGTCCTCCTCCTGTTCTTCTTCTTCTTCCACAGACACACCTGCAAGGTCTGTGACATCACCACTGACA